AGTTATGAAGAAATCTTGCAAGATGAGAATTCGAGCAAGTGGGAGCTGACCAAGAAGGAGGAGATGAATTCCCTACCAGGGAATCAGACTTGGGAGCTGACAGAACTTCTACCAAGAAAGAATGCATTGCACAACAAGTGCGTGTACCAGGTGAATACTGTATTTGGTGGCAGTAAGAGGTACAAGACTGAACTTGTTGAAAAGGGCTTTTAGCAGAGGCAGGATATTGCTCATGCAGTGGGAGTTGTAAGCAGATACATAAATAACTCAGAAATAAGCTTGGTGGTACAAGGCTACTTTGACTGTGGTATGCCAACTGAGAGTGTTACTCGTGAGAAGCTAAAGTTGTGCTCGACTTCAGCTGGTCTTCTAACATGAAGACAGGGCTTTGAGTTGTAGAGGTGGAAGATATCATGTTTGAGGAAAAAGTCATACATCTAGTAGATGATGCAGTCAGTGTCCCAGTCTCCAAGTGAGAGAATTGTTGGGTAATGTGGAAACCCGTCCACAAAAATTTCATTAGCTTCCTAATTAAGAATCTCACCTACCGCTCGCCTACTTTCCCACCAACTACTCACCTACTACATCCCACTTTCTGCTCACCTACCTCCCACCTATTGCTCTCATGGTTTCTATAAATTGCCTCCTTTGGCTTAAAGGAGAAGCCAAACCAAGTCCTCTTGAGAGCTAAGAGAAAGAGAGGAAGAGAGAGAGAGAGAGAGAGGAATGGAGAGAAGAAAATAGAGATTTTCTTGTAAACATTGAGGCGCTCGACGGTGTAATTCCTTGAAGAAATAAAATCATCTACAGCTCCGTGGACATAGGTAAATTTGTCGAACCACGTAAATCTGTGTGTCGTTCTGGTGTTTTTCTGCGTGCAATTTTACTCATTCCATTTTTCGCTTTATTGTCGTCATTTTTCAAAAAAGATTTGTGTTTGATACTTTTTTTGGGTGGTTAAATCTTAGACAAAAAAATTTTGAATCTTTGAACTTTTTTTTATTTAAATTTGTTAAATTTATTTAATATTATTTGTTTAATTTTGTAAATGGTTAATTATTTTTTTCGATGTTAAATAAGTTTTATGTAATTTAACTAAGTCATTATGCATTTCTTTGTTAAGGAATAATTGAAAGCATGAAGTAATGAAATAAATCTAGAATTTCCATACACAACATAAAAT